TATTCCCAGTACCGTGCTGGCCTGGCCCAGCTCCCTGCCACAGGCCAGCCACAGGGAGAGATCCACACAGTGCCCGTGCCTGCTGCCCCCTCGGGGTGCAGGGGACCCAGCCGCACGATGCCCTTTGGGTGGGGCTCCAAGGTGAGTTCTGGGCACTGGATCGGCCTTGGGCCAGCCACAGCAAACACCCCCTCCCCTGGCCCAGGGGCTACCCTAGAGCACAGACCCAGGCTCCTTGCAGCCTGGTGCACTACCCCCTGCCACAGGGCATCACGCTGCTGATTGACAGGAGGGGTGCTAGAGCAGCTCCTTGGTGCTGCCGCTCAGGCTGGGCCCCAGGGTGCTGGGGGCTCCCATGGCTCGCAGGCTCAACCCACACTGGCCGGATGGGGAAACTGAGGCACGCAGCGAAGGGGAAATGACTTGCCTAGTAGGTCAGCAGCACAGCCAGGAATAGAACCCAGGAACCCCGAGTCACACCGTTCCCCCTAGGCCATCTGTCTACCAGCGTGCCCCAGCTGCACAGGCCAAGAGCAGCCATTGGTCCATCAGCCTGTCCCCAGCAGCAGCAGGGCTAGGCACTGCCAGGGAAGGTGCACGGACAGGCTATGCCACCATGCAGTACATGCCCCCGCCTGTGGCTGGCAATGTTCCTTCCTGACCCTCTCCATGACTTGTGCCCTGATGCCTGAGGGTGAAGCTCTCAGCTCTGTGCTGGATCCCTGCACGGAGTGCACTACATGTTCCCTCTGTTGTCCCCAGGGGTGAAAACTGGGAGCTCTATGGGCATGGAGGGGGGGAACCCTTAAGGCCTTTGGAAAATTGCAGGAGCCGTATTTAACCCTTTCCTGAACTGTACCCAGCCTTTGCCTGTGCTGCTGTGCCTTGCGGTGGTGAGTCCTGCAGGCTAACGGCAGGTGGGGGATATAAAGAAAAGGGGATTCCCTGGCAGCCAGCTGGTCCATTTGTCTGTCATAGCCAAGCAGCTGCATCCTGATGTGGGCCTCCTCCCCCGACGGTATCCCCAGAACACACAGGGGGGCTTCAGTTTTCCTGCCACC